AGTCTTCTCGAACAACAACCCATCAGTAGTGCGGTAGTCTGGTTCGGTCTCTGGGCCTCCTTTACTCTCTTGAGGAGGTCACCATAAATAGGGTCBTGCACATACACCTCTCTAACTTTCTGCTCCAGGTCTCTCCCTATATCCTAATAATGAACTATCGCTCCAAAGCAGTCAACTCTCCTACTCAGAGCATCCGCGACTACATTATATTTCCCTTTAAATGGCTTGAGCTCAAATCATATTGGTCTAACTCTGCGGTCCACCTAGTAAGCTTAGGTGTCATCTTGGCTTGCGTCTTTGGCCACCTTAATGTCTCGTGGTCGAAGTACAAGTGTCTCCCAAGCAAGTAGTGCTTCCAGTGTTCTAATGCTTGCATGAGAGCGTAGAGTTCTCTCTCATAGGTGGATGTCGCGACCTTCTCTGAAGGCATCCTAGCAGACATGAACTCTACGGGCCTATATCCGTTGCCGTCGTCTTGCTGTAGCACAACGTCTATTCCATACTGGCTTGCGTCCGTAGTAACGACGAACGATAAGGATGGATCGGCTACCTTAAGGACTGGGTACTATCAACGCCTGCTTCAACTTCTTCATGGCAGACGTACAGTCCTTATCCCTGCTTCTTTCTTTAGCAACCTGCGAAAGGGTGCAGCGATGGTGGAGAATTTGCCCACAAACTTCCTATAGTAATTCGCTAGGCCTAAGAATGACCGCAACTCTGTCAACGTGCGGGGTGTAGGCCAATCTCTAATCACTGCGATCTTGTTATCTTTTGGCTTAATACCGTCTCCGTCTAAGACATGGCTGAGATATAGAACTTGGGTCTTTGCCCATTCACACTTCTTTGCGTTGATCTTGAAGTTGGCCTCTCTTAGCTTCTCCAAGACCTGCCTCGAATGACCCTCATGCTCCTGGAGGATCCTACTCAACACTAGAATATCGTCTAAGTAAACTACTACGAATCTATCTAACCACGACCGAAACAAATCATTCATACAACACTGAAAAGTCGCTGGCGCGTTGGTTAGTCCAAAGGGCATGACTACCCATATCTAGTCTGGAACGCGGTCTTATATTGATCATCAGGATGGACCTCTATCTGATGATACCCGGACTTCAAATCTATCTTTGAAAAATACTTGCAGCCCTGGACCCGATCTAAGAGATCATCTATACGGGGTAATGGCTCCGCATTCTTCACTGTGATAACATTGAGACCCCTATAGTCTATACACATTCTGAGCTCTCCCTCCTTCTTGGGAACAAACAGAACAGGTGCTCCAAATTTAGACGAACTGGGCCTAATCCAACCCTTCTCTAGGAGCTCGTCTAATTGGTTGCGCAGCTCCTCTAACTCCCGCGGGGACATCCTATATACTGCTCCTTTAGGAGTCCTACTGCCAGACTCTATTTCAATACGATGCTGAGCGGGATCTATGGGCTTTCCCTCTTTAGGCTCAGTGACTGGCTTGACATAGGCTACAAAGACCTATTCTTCTAGCTGCTCCTTCTTCACTAATCTTGCAAACGCACGAGCGCTAAGGCAGCAATGTACCAGGGAGTTATCTACTCCTAACATGTGGAACAAATGGGCAGTCTTGACCCCGCCTGACGAGCTGGGGAGCCTACACTCATGCTCTCTCAAATGGAGTGTGGCCCCGACTGCCTCTCCCGTGTCCATTCCTAGGACTATGTCAAAAGGAAGGTCGTCCTGTACGAGGAGAGTCAGGGAATGGAGAACTTTCTCCACCTTCCCATCTATCTCTAGGCGGAAATACGCCTCGACTGCCTCTACGTAGTCCCTAACACGAATAGTGCGGTTGTCTGTGAGGACACTCACTATAGGGTCTTCTAATTTCTGGACTTTCAACCCTAACCTTAGCTTCTTCAGCGCTCTAAGGCTAATATAACTGCGAGTAGCCCCTGAATCTATAACGACTCTTACTGTACTTCTAAAAACTTCTACGTTTACTAAAACTAGTTGTCCACAACTCTCCTTCTTCATTTTGGCCCAGGCGGGCATTCTCTCCTTCAACTCATCGGCCACGCCTGTGAGGGAAGTGCCTAGAGAGACTCTGACACAAGCAGCCTCTGGACAACTATCTTGGCACCGACCTGCAACCTCTGCCATAGGCACATGTGGTGTGGGAGTTTCTTGCCAGCTCGCGCTCATTTCCCCACATGGCCTTATGGTAGGGAAAGTTGCTACCCCTACCGGCGGCTGCCTTTTGACCCCTGGCAGCCCATCGGGCCTCTATATACTTTGGACAAAATTTAATGATGTGGCCAGGGTCACCGCAATATATGCACTGCCCTTGGTCCACACGTTGTTGCCAGACGCGTTGGTCCAGGCCGAAATCTTCCCAAGGCCGGCCCTGCGGCAGACCTGGGTGCCAATTTCCTCTCCTAGAGGGTGACCTATTACCCCTATTGGGTGACTTATTTCCAGAACGGTTTTGTGGGGGGACCTTGACCCCTTCCTCCCGCTTGGCGGTTTCCTCCTCTACCACCACCAACCCCCTGATCGCCCTGGGAACGGCCCTCTGAGGCCCGGACCCCTTGGCCCTAGCCTCTACCTCCTCCTTGCGGCCTCCCTCCGACCACGACAGCAACGTAAGTCCTCCCCTGGCTAATGCCACTATCCTCCTCCTCTAGTCCCCACTCAATCTGCTCGTAGGGGACTTCGTCGACACCACCCTCATCTAACGTAAGGATCAAACGATCCTTGGTCTTGACCTGACCCGAGATGGTGCGACCCTTCCACTTTTTGCCCTTATCCAGGTCCTTATGCCAAAAAGTGGAAATTGATATGGAGCTTGCCTCAAACGCCACCACTTCCTTGCTCAATGCGTCGTAGGTCATGGTGGGCTGCTAGCTCTTCTCGAAGAAGTGCCCTCGTAATTGTTCGCGCATAGCCCGGTAGAAGAGGTTGACCAATTGGGTCTCTGTGACCCCATGGTCCGAGATGGCGACTAACTCATCCATTACGCCCTTGAGTGCCCTGACACTCTTCCACTGGCGGGAGTGGATGTTTTGCAGCCTATTAGAGGCTTTGACACTACGTGAGACGTCTGCAAAATGTTCCCTTAATAACTTAAGAAAATCATTGAGGGGCGTAAACGCAGTATAGGCAACGAGATCATCGTTGCAGTTGGCGGCACGACACAGGGAACGATCGAAGTTTGTTGCTTCCTCCTTAAGAGCGTGAATCGCTATTAGAACATGCTCGTCCAGGGCGACTTTCTGCAAGTGCATGTACGTTTTGATATTGGCTTCCCAATTATCAAAATTTTCTTCCTTCTTCCCGTTGTAGGAATCCGGGAATTCGACCATAGTGGGCTCCCTACGGGGACGTGCCTCCTCCTCCTTGGGAGCGACCAGTTTGGCGCCTTCTATGGCGCCCGTGCAATAACGTTTTGTGCCCTCTAGGCGGGCCCTCACCTCTGAGCCCACCTGCGTCGCCAATTCCCTGGCGAAGTCCGGGAGCCCCAGCCGTATAAAGCGTAAGGCAATATCCTGACCTCTACTAAACATATATTGTTCTTCTTGGACTTGTGCCAGGCGCTCTATGTTCCTCGCCATTATCTCCATCTTCTTCAATAGATCCACCTGCGTCGCCATCTGCTCTCTTTGCATTTTCACCTCCTCCAATTCTTTTGCCGCCTGGCTCGCCGCCTCCATTCTTCTTTTCCTCTCCCTCATCAATCGGAACTTCCACTCCATCCTCTTCTCATCCTTTATCGTCTGCCGCCTGAGTGGGTCTTCCTCTGCATCCCACACTTTCATGGTGGCCTCTTGTTCTTCCCTGGGCACATACATCAGTGTCTCTTCTTCTTCTCCCAGGGACAAACCCGCAACCCACTCCGTAATCTTCTTCTCCATCTGGTCTTCTTTTGTACCACTGGATTCACCTCTTCCTCCTGCCCTTCGCCTTTCTAGTGGCTGTTCTTCTACCTCTTCCTCCTTTTCTACCGCCTTGAGCTTCTCTTCTTCTTCTCTCTTTAACCTCTTTTTTTCTCTAGCCATCTCCTCCTCAATCTTCTTCAACTTTGCAGCTTGTTCCTCTATCAAGGCCTTCTTCTTGGCCTCCTTCTCCCTTCTTTCTTTCAGGATGGCGGCGGCCTTCGCATCCTGCTCTGCTGTGTAAGGGGAGGTGCTCATTCTTGTACGCGTGTCAACCATGGTGATAGACGCACAACCAAATAACGGTTCCACTCCTCACCACTTAGACTCTCCCCCTAACTGACTCAACCTAAGACTGACTCAATCTATGGACCATAGGGTTCGTAGAGAGCCCTGTCAACTATGGTCTGTAGCCTAGACTCTAATCACTACAATCGTCACTACAGAACCTGTTGCTGACCAGGAGGAATTTAAGGAGATCCCCCGTAACTCCTAAGGAATTCTTTAACGTCGCAGACAGAACGACGCGGTCAGCAGGTTCTCTCAAGACTTAGACGGCCCGTTGTGCAGCCCACAACTCAAATTTTGGGCCTACTGTGTCACACCGAGCAGCCCGTCGGTCAGTACCGGTCCTTGGGAGGGTTCGTGTCCTCCGAGACAGTCGAGTCGCGAGACACAGTCTTTAGCCCTACTCAGCCCGTGTGGGTTTGGTCAACAAGGCCCTATCCTTCATATACGGAGTCCTATCACCTGGACAGAAGAGACTCAATGCAGAAAGAAGAGACARACAGACTCAGACTCAGCAAGTACCATAGGGTGGGTGCACATCCATAGGGTGAGGGGATAGGCTAAGGGCTTGGCGAGATTATACCAACTCCAGCTTGGTCAAAATCGTGGTCAGCAGCTCCGGTCAACGCCTTGGTCAACGCTTGGTCAACGCGGTCAAACCCCCGTCAACACTCCGGTCAACCCTCCGGTCAACGCCCGGTCAACCCTTGGTCAATGCCTTGTCAACCTCCAAGTCGGCTATGGTTGCCGGCACCTTCTTCCTCGCCACCCTTGACTTCTCTTTCCCCCTCCTTCACCTTTCTTCTTTCCTCCTTTTTCTCTTTTTTTTTTTTTTTTTTTTTTTTCGTTGTCCCTCCTTCCTC